TAAAAAAAAATGTAATTTCTTTATAAATTTAGGGCAAAATATATTCTGCTCCATGTCTTTGCTAGAAAAAAATCCCAATATGTGTAAAATTAATTGGCTTACATGAAAGTTATAGTGTCTACAAATGGCGGTATAGATATTGGAATTTTTATTTCATTATTTTATTATACTAATAACGGCAGCAATCAGCGACTTATAGCGGGACTGCGGCGGGCATTCTGACACTGGGTGGGAACTAACGGTCACTGGCATCTCCAGTGACACAAATACAGTGATCAGTGCTAATAAAAAGCACTGACACTGTACTAATGACACTGGGCATGAAGGGGTTAACATCTGGGGCGATCAAAGGGTTAACTATGTTTTACTAGGGAGACATGCTGTGCAGAGAGATAGAAAGCATCACGTCCATGCTGACACACAGATCTCTCCCCTCTAAGCTTTAGTAGTGATCACCAACTGCCAGCTGAGAATTGCCGGCCAGGACCCGGTGATTGACATCTGCTACAACCAATGGCAGTGCTGGTAGGGCAGTGCGGGTAGGGTGGCGCGTGCATGAACCCGGAACTGCAATGTCACGTATATATATGTGATTTTGCACAAAGCGGCCGCCTTGTAGTAGTATATCTGCTATAGGGCGGTAGGCAATTGGTTAAACTGGATAGTCATAGATGGCCAGTGCTGACTTCAGCAGTAGATGTTACCCTGTGTCCAGTATTTCTTATTTAACTTCCTGATAGTGACTTGGCTTGTGGTCCTGCTTATTCACCTGTACAGTCCTTGGCCTGCACCCCAACTGTGCTTCTGTCTACTCCTCCAGCTCTAGGTCTGCTCATTTGATACTGACTTTGGCCTGGAACTTGCCCTCATACTTGCTGTTGCCCTGACCCTGTACATGACCCACCAGGTTCTGACACAGCTTGCTCAACCATGAACCATTTCTACTTACCAACTTGCTACTCCACTATCTATGCACCTACCTGCTTGCTAGTTTGCTGATCATGCCTACCAGTTCAGTCATCATGTTGAAACATTGTTCCAGTCTGTTGGTCCAGTTACCAGACTCCTTCATTATCCTTCTAGGGGGAGTTTACATATCACAGACCCTACCAGTGGCTTCCACGCATCAGCATCATCATCCAACAGAACGGCAAGGTATTCATACCCCTCAATGCCATTATGCTACCTGTTTGCTCCATCAATAGTCCTGGACTGCAGGTGTAAGAGACACCATCCTCGCTGTGTCAGGTTTCCATGTCAGGTATGTGCTCCTGGGCTGCTGAGAGCCCAGCCTTTCATAGCATTGTTGGCTGTTGTGACTCAGCTGACCAGGGGCAATGGCTATGCACTGAATAGCTTGATCCTTATTCCCAGTAATGACATATCTGTGAAGTTTTCATGCAAAAGATTCTCAATTCCCTACAAATCCTGAACCCATGGTAGTTGGGAACTCAAACACCATCCCTTGTGTATTATATAGTTGACCTGGAGTTCAGCTTTAAGGTGAACCTGTTGCTTTCCCTGCATGGTCAAAACACTGGGATGGACTGTCTTCCACACATTTTTGTCTAGGAAAGAATTCTCTGTCTCCGTATTCATTTTAAGTCTTATTTTTCCATTTTGGCAGGAGCATACCTTTAAACAAAAGCCTTTGTGTTTCAGGAACAAACACCCTTAAAGATAACACAATCCTCAAACCCATCCACTTCCACACTACGTAAAATATCTTATATCTCTTGATTCAGACAACTTAATTTGACTGTTTGCAAATTATTTTGTTCTATTCGAGATAAAGATGCAAGGAAAAAAAAAAAAGATTTGTTTGCTCATGTCATCATCTAAAACCTCTTCCAAAAAAATTGTGGAAAAAAAGGTACCCGTAAATGCAATACCTTTTAGAGGAGGATAATTGCCGCTTCTTTGGCCTCTTTGGCATCCTGCTGTGTCCATTCTCTAAGACCAGCACAGTACACTTAAAATCTTCTGCTTCAGCTATGCGCTATATGCAGATGGGAAAAGATTTGATTAAAATTACAGTGCTTTAGGTTCAACTTCACCTATTAAAGGAAAAAAAAAAAAAGGAGGCCTTGGTGGTGGACTTTTTTTTCCTTTTTCGAAATATCTAGGCCACAGTAATTATAGGCAAAAGCCTGCTGCGCTTTTTGAATGGTACCCCTGGGGTGGTATTTTCTTGTTACCTGTCTCTGTACCGCTGTTGACATCAACATGAATGATAACTATGCTTTTTTTTCGTATATGTATCTGTGAGTTTTTTTCTTTTTAATGCTTAGAAAGGTAGGAGGGGAGAGAATGGAAAATACATTAGTTATAAGTATTGCCGTTTTCATTTGATGTGTCAAGGATCCCTTTGTGCTTGAGCGGCAAAGGTTTCCTGTGTATCTTTATGATTGCCCTACTCTTTCTTTCCCACTAAAAAAAAAGATCAGAGTATTATTGATAGATTTGGATGGAAAGGAACAAAAATTGCTTTTAACTGTAAATTAGAGACATTTTTTTGTTGCGAGCAACTTTTGTGTATTCTGTAAATTATGCAGTAATGCTATTTCAACTTAGATAATATGTTAATGAATTGCATGTGGGGTGCCATGCCTTCCATGTGAGATAGTTCTGCATTGTGTCATAAAGGTTTGATTAGGATAGGACTAGGGTTGTAAACTTGCTTAGAGCTGAGTTTGACTTTCAGATCTATTGCAAAATAAAGATGGTGTTATGACTAAAATCATTTATCTTTTGATATTAAATGATTTGTATTTATTGGATATGTTCTTGTTTTGGGAGAAATTGTTTAACATTAGGTATACTAAATGATCAAATATGCTGAATCTTGAGGCAGCAGTTCATTGAAGGCGGTTTTCTGTTTCAGCATGACTGTGCTCCTGTGCAGCAACATAAAGATGGGGTGATCAATATTTAGCTTAACCACTTGCTGACCACTCAATAGCTATGATGGCTATTGCGCGGTTGTTCAGTTCTGCGAAGGCATCATATGACGTCCTCCCAGAACCGTGCCCGCTGCGGCGCGCACCCAACACTCTCTGTGATCCCTTTGTGTTTTGGACACATCTGATCACATGACATGGTAAAGGGCCAATCACAGCGGCCATTTACCACGTGATCAGCTGTGTCTAATTTAGTCACTTAGTGTAGAGCTATGGGACATCACTTCATAGAGTATGTATAATCTAGCTTAAGTAATTCTACCCAATTTAGATGTAAATGTCAATCACATAAATCACAGCCAGTGAGCCAATGAGGAGAAAGCGGGAGGCTTGATCAAGCCACGGCTCTATGTCTTAAAGTGGGGCTCGAGAACAAGCATGCACCATTGCCCCCATTGCAAGCAGCTTGCTATTACGGACACTGATTGAGGGGGAGGAGACAGGAGCACCAGCGGGGACCATGTTTGTTTATTAAAAAAAAAAAATGAACCTTTAATATCACTTTAAGGCAGATCTCCCAAACTTAGAGGTGAGCAGAACTTGCACAGTTAACTCTTTTTAACCCATGGTCAAACCTACTACACTGTTAACTTTACACGCTTGTTCTCTTGCTAAGGGACCCCTCTACATCTGACTCTCTCCCGTGACTCCCAGCTAAGTCCCTAGGCACTCTATGCTGCAAGGTGGGGATTTGGTTGGCAGAAGAGGGGCCAAGCATACACCACTTCACTACCAGAGTGACCATCATTCCTGCCTGTCACCAATTTCCCTGTTGGTTGGCTACCTTTAGCAAGTGATCCAAACACAGGTGTGTCCCTAGCAAAGGCAATATAGCCTACAATAGACAGCATCCTACGTGCTGGACTTAAATGCACTGTATCTTCTCTAACTCTCTAGTCTCTAGATGTAAGCCATGTTTATTTGATATGCCATGTATGCACCCCTTTAGGAACTTCAGATCAGGCAAAGTAGATGTTAAACAGCAACTCCTTTACTGAGGTAGTCAAAGGTAACACAGGAACAGTTCTTCCAAACAACTTCACATACACTCCTGTACAGAGTTCTCTTTGTGCCCAAAAGGGTAATCATACCTGATTACCAGAAGAGTCCATAAAGTAGTCCATAGCAACAAGAGTCCAATAAAGTGTTAGCAAACTCCATGAAACTCTAGTTGTATGTTCTGGTTCCCACTTGGCTGGTTAGTCCATCAGTATAACAACTACATCTTGCAGATTCCCTAAGGCTTTAAGAAGTACAGCCAAAGCTTCTTTGGCTGCACTTATGCTGTGGATCATAGGAGTGCAGTTCGTTCTGCACTCCTGTGACCCGTTTTTCAACTGACAGCGGATTTAAAGTGGTTATAAAGGCTTAAGAATTTCTACCTTCATGCATTCTATCTGCCGCAGTGTCTTCTGTCTGCAGCTGCCCCCCCTCTGTCCCCTCAATATCTACCTGAGCCTAATCGTGATCCAGCTGTCCTGGGTTTCTGCCTCCTTATTGGCTGAGTCAGCAAGTGGTAGCCATTGGCTCCCACTGCTGTCAATCACAGCCAGGCAGAGAGAGAGGGGGTTGGGCCAAGCCCCAGCTCTGTGTGTGAATGGACACACAGATCAGTGGGTGCCCCCATAGCAAGCTGCTTGCTATGGGGGTACCTGATAGGAGGGAGGGGCCAGGAGAACCTGCGGGGGACCCAAGAACAGGAGGATCCAGGCTGCTCTGTGCAAAAAAAAAAATAACCTTTAGAATTGCTACAAGTAAGCTGTCAGCTGACATCACTCAGCCAGTCCAGACTGGGGAAAGATCCCAACTTCAAAGTTTGGATCCACCCCAGAGTCCCCTTCCACAGCCCAGTGTTCCAGTGAGCACTGGGGAAAGCTGAGCAGAGAGCTGTGGTTGACAGTTCCATTCTCTGCTCAGAGCAGAGAGGAGAACTCAGCTATCAGCGGTCATGTGATCGCTGAGTTCTCACCCTTAGAGCCGACAGGGGACACATGCATCATCATACCGATGCTGCATCCACCTAGTTAAAGTGTTACTAAACCCCGGACCCTGCATTCACTATATCCGGTCTCCCCGGACCCTGCATTCACTATATCTGGTCTCCCAGGACCCTGCATTTACTATATCTGGTCTCCCCGGACCCTGGGAATTCACTATATCTGATCTACCCGGACCCGGAATTCACTATATCTGATCTCCCCGGACCCTGCATTCACTATATCTGGTCTCCCGGACCCTGCATTCACTATATCTGGTCTCCCAGGACCCTGCATTCACTATATCTGGTCTCCCCAGACCCTGCATTCACTATATCTGGTCTCCCCAGAAATTGCATTCACTATATCTGGTCTCCCTGGACCCTGCATTCACTATATCTGGTCTCCCCGGACCCTGCATACACTATATCTGGTCCCCCCGGACCCTGCATTCACTATATCTGATCTCCCCGGACCCTGCATTCACTATATCTGATCTCCCCGGACCCTGCATTCATTATATCCGGTCTCCCAGGACCCTGCATTCACTATATCTGGTCTCCCAGGACCCTGCATTCACTATATTTGGTCTCCCCGGACCCTGCATTCACTATATCTGGTCTCCCCGGACCCTGCATTCACTATATCTGGTCTCCCCGGACCCTGCATTCACTATATCTGGTCTCCCTGGACCCTGCATCCACTATATCTGGTCTCCCACAGTACACAGAAAATAGAAGTGCAATTATTTTAGTAAATATAAACTGCTAAATACCTTTTCTCATCAGCAGTTAGAGCAGTCTTGTGACTTCAACCGAGCACTAGTTAAAGCTTGTAGGAGGAGTTTTTTTTCTGCTCTAGGGAGGATGCAGAACCCCTGACCTCTGTCTGGACAGTGCTGATTGGCCCTGTGCTGATCACATGCACTCTCCCAAGAAAAAAAAACTCTATAGCAATACACACCAAACTGAGCATGTGCATGTGGCTACGGGTTCAGTCTGTCTTAACAGGTGGACATTTGAACAAGATGAGGGGCAGAGAAAACAGGATCAAATGGCCTTTTTACAGAATGTAGAGGATTAACCTCTTAGGTTCCACAGTGAGTATAACAAGCATGCATTACTGCATATACAGACCGATTTTACTGTTGTGGGTTTAGTAACACTTTAAGTATAATGGGGGAAAAAAAGCTCTACTTCTGTTTTAAGGTCTTCAAAACAGAGGGGGCTCAGGCTCTTTAATACCCCAGGCTCTTGAATCCTCTCCCAGGGCACAGAACAGCCCTTATTTATTTTAGATGACTTGCAGGGGCGGTGAACCTTACAGAAATGGCGGAACATCCTGGCCAGGATTGTTCATTCTTGCCTCTCCAGGTTCACTCATTCAGCAACAGAACATACATTGTAACATTTACTGGGCTTACAGCAGTAATACACAGGGAAAACATGGGGCGGCACAGTGGCTTGGTGGTTAGCACATCTGCCTTGCAGTAAATGGGTCATGGGTTTGATTCCCGACCATGGTGCCACCCACATGGAGTTTGCATGTGCTTGTGTGGGTTTCCTCTGGGTGTCCTGGTTTCCTCCCACACTCCAAAAACATGCTGGTAGATTAATTGGCTCCTGTCTAAATTGGCCCTAGTATGTGTATGTATGAATGTGAGTTAGGGACCATAGATTGTACGCCCCTTGAGGGTTAGGGACTGATGTGAATGTTCAATATATATGTGTAAATTGACAGTGCTATATAAATACCTGAAATAATAAATAACCATGTAAAGCCCTTTCTAAGCACATGATTGGTGCTGGATCTTGGCAGACGCTGACAGCCAGCAGTAAAGTCCGCACTCAATGTGTAGCCCACTATGTTCTCGATGTCTGGAGTACAGCAGGCCACAGGCTAAATGCTAGTGGGTCGCATGTGGCATGCGGGCTGCATTTTGGGCACCAAAGCCCCATACAGTCACATCTACTGTGCTTCAATCAGCAATGATCGCACTCTAAAGCCACAATCCTGAACAAATTACCCCTTCATCTTTTTATTAGAGTTATTTGAAAGGCAAACTGGATGAATCCATTGATGCAATAGAAAAGCCTTTCAATGACCAACATAAGACAGTTATAAACTATAATATTTTCCAGCACATTTTTGGAAATGGAATTCTGAATTCTTTTCTAAAGTGATCAATATGTCAGAAGAGCTCAGCAGATTCATTAATTCTAACCCAGATTTCACAAGTTCCAAAAAGCATCACTAGTCAATTAAAGGAGAGTTTTGACATATTTTACATTTAGGCATGGATAGTGTTTATGTACAGTAAGCGCTCACAACAAACTGAATTTCTCTAGGGTTATACAAGACGTGGTGTGAAGGAATCTTGGAATTTCCAGAAGGGCGATTTTCACAGAACATTCTTAAGTGAATTTTATTCCTTGTTGATAACTTGGGATGAATCTGCCTGACGGGAAGGGTGAGAGCTTATGTAGGAGCCAGTTGCCTCGAATCGCAGAAGATGGTGTTGTTGTACTCAGCCATATACTGTATGTTGCTAATGGATTTGTGTATGTAAATCAGTGAAGAACAATTCAATAAATCTCTCACATTGCCCATTGGCTTTCCCCAGAGGACCAGACATCTCTTCTCTAACTTTGCTTTCCTGAAATGGAAGACAGAAAAAAAAAATGAAAAAAAAAGTGTCACATATGCAAGACCTTTTTAATAAATGGACACAAGGGCCTTGGGGTGTTTTAACAGAGTGGCAAAGGGAGTGTTTGCTGTGGGCCTACCAAGACTGTGGACCTACAAAGACATTTGCAAGTAATGAGGCTTAAGCTGGCTATAGATGGGTCGAATATCAGCCGGTTCAGCAGGGACTGGCCAAGATTCAATTATTCTATAGGCAAGTTGGTTGCACTGAAGTCCATTGATCGACTTTAGTACAACCAGCTTGTCAGATTTTTTAGCATGTGATCGCTGCCGGCAGCTATAACCGCTAGCAGTGATCATTGTGTTCTGCCAGCAAGAAAGGTTCCGTGCCATCAGAACACAATATCACTGTGGGATTGATTCTCTATCTCTGTCAATGGGCGGCATAGTGGTGTGTAGTGGTTAGCACGTCTGCTTTGTAGTAAATGGGTCATGAGTTCGATTCCCAACCATGGATTTTGCATGTTTTCCCTGTGCTTGTGTGGGTTTCCTCCGGGTGCTCCGGTTTCCTCCAACACTCCAAAGACATGCTGGTAGGTGAATTGGCTCCTGTCTAAATTGTCCCTATTATGTGTATGTATGAATGTAAGTTAGGGACCTTAGATTATACGCCCATTGAGGGTTAGGGACTGATGTGAATGTACAATATATATGTAAAGCGCTGCGTACATTGACAGCGCTATATACGTACCTGAAATAAATAATAAATAAATAAACACTGAATGTGCTATAGCCGCTAGCAGTGATCATTGTGTTCTGCCAGCAAGAAAGGTTCCGTGCCATCAGAACACAACAGCGCTGCAGGATTGGTTCCCTATCAACACTGAATGTGCTATAGCCACTAGCAGTGATCATTGTGTTCTGCCAGCAAGAAAGGTTCCGTGCCATCAGAACACTATAGCGCTGCAGGATTGGTTCCCTATCAACACTGAATGTGCTATAGCCACTAGCAGTGATCATTGTGTTCTGCCAGCAAGAAAGGTTCCGTGCCATCAGAACACTATAGCGCTGCAGGATTGGTTCCCTATCAACACTGAATGTGCTATAGCCGCTAGCAGTGATCATTGTGTTCTGCCAGCAAGAAAGGTTCCGTGCCAACAGAACACAATAGCGCTGCGGGATTGATTCTCTATCAACACTGGATGTGCTCTAGCCGCTAGCAGTGATCATTGTGTTCTACAAGCAAGAAAGGTTCCATGCCAACAGAAAACAATAGCGCTGCGGGATTGATTCTCTATCAACACTGAATGTGTTGATGGGGAGATTGAGCAATTTTCTTTCCCTCCACCCAAATTATATCATCTACGGCTTCCTTTAATTTCTGAGAGTAGAGAAGCTCAGATTTATCATCAGTTTATCACTACAGGGAAAAATATTATGTTCTGGTAACCGAATATGGTAATACATGTGAAGAAAAGCAAAAGAAGGGCGCACTCTCTTCGTGGATTACCGTGGTAAAAAACAAATTCATTGGAATGCGTAAAAGTGCATACTCACAAACCAAAGGAGATATAACAACATAGAGAAAGAGCCAGTGATAACGGTCCCAGATACCGGGACATACTTGATGTGGTTAGCTGACACGTTTCGGGAGACGCACTTCCTTCCTCAGAGCTCTGAAGAGGGGAGTGCTTCTCCCGAAACATGTCAGCTAACCACATCAAGGGTCTCCCAGTATCTAGGACCGTTACCACTGGCACTTTGTATCTGTTTTATATCTCCTTTGGTTTGTGAGTATGCACTTTTATGCATTCCAATGAATTTGTTCTTACCACGGTAATCCACGAAGAGAGTGCGCCCTTCTTTTGCTTTTCTTCACCAGTACCAACGTTTCCAGATCTTTCTATTTCAATGGTTTTTATTACATTTTTTAAACAGTATAAACAGAGGCAATAAAACACGCCCATGCAGGGGCTATCAATTGCACAGATAAACAAAATTCAAAATAAAAAAAAGGGGGAAAAACAATGCTCTAATGCCAACAGGGCAAAAGGTACGCCCACGCAGGGGCTATCAATGACACATAAGTTACAAAACATTAATGTAACTGATTATAACAACTAAATGCAGCTGTCCTAGTCACACCAAAAACAGAGAGAGAGAGAAAAAGGAAAAGAAAAAAAAAAAAAGAAAAAAGGGGGGGGGCAAAGAGCAGGGATTCAAGAGCGCCAATACCGAACGCCATTACATCCCCAGACTAGCCGGGGGGGAGTGAGGGAAGGGCATATTGCAACCACGGCTCCCATATTTTCAAAAATTTACGTTGGGAGTCATTGCGGATACTCGACATCTGTTCGTTGAGCATCATAGTGGTCATACGATCCCGCACCCCCTGAAGAGGGACAAACGGACTCTTCCAGGCCTGAGCAATTGTTCTAGTGGCGGATAAAAACAGATAGGAAGCCAACTTCTGCTGGTGAGCCAAGAGGCCCAGTATGGGGCAATGAAGCAAAGCATACCGAACATCCCGGCGTATGGAGAGATGGAACAAGGTGAAAAGGAGGCCAAATACACGAGACCAAAAACGAAACAGTCTTGGGCATGACCACCAGATATGCAATACATCACCACGATGACCATAACCCCGAAAACATTGATCACTACAGGCAGGGTTAGCCCGGGCCAACCGAGCCGGAACCCAGTACCAACAAAACAATACCTTATAGGCTGCCTCCAATGTGGTCGTATTAAATGAGCATTTAGCTATGAGTGACCAGGCCTTATTCCAGTCCTCCGGATCCACAGCCACTCCCAGGTCGCGCTCCCACTGAACAACATATGAAAGAGAAGTATGCGACGAGCGTCTGTTCAGAGCT